AATGATTTGCGGCTAGGCGCACAAGAATTACTGTATCGGCACTGTTTGATACGGGCGTCCCCACCAAAGGCTGTACAAAGGAAAGCTCGTAACTTTTGCCATTTTAACTTCATTCTTAATAATAATGGACGACGTTGTTGAACCAAATACCTACCCGCACTTGGATATGCAGGACGTAAGCTGGAAAAAGTTTGCAAAGAGGCATTCGCATTGCATTCGCATTCGCGTGGGGAATGCTCAGAACGAGCCACCTTAGCGAGATCTTTTAAAGCAGTAGTACTCAATTTAATGGCATTGCGCATAAACGCATAAATGCTGCGTGCTCAGCTATGGTTCAACGACAGCATTTGCTGGAAATTCCTTGCTTCCTAAATTGTTCCCATTTGTTTTGTGGGCTCCTCCTTTGAATTCAGCAGTTCAGGAGGCTGGGTGAATGCTTATTCCACCCACTAGTCTGTTGCATTTTTTGCTGTGCGCCTGAATTTCATGATTTCGTCGGCAGTAGTCCTCACGAAGAGATTCGACGTTTTCTCGCTTCAATCGGAACACCGGCTCTCCAACACCTCCACCTTTGTCGAATCCGTGCAGACGCTGTTGGCTTGAACACCCAACCTTTGCAGGTGTCCAGATTTCTATTTGTACTGGTTCACGTCTGGCCGTCCCCGTACACAGGATGTGCGTTTGATTCCCTCTTATTAAACGACGTATCACAAGAACCTGCAGGTTCGTATGCGTTAAGGCAACGTAGGCCAGTCAACAACTCTGTGCACGCCTACGGCTAGCACTGCATGTTTAGCATTTATGTAGCAGCGAGGCAATCGTGGGTGTGCTCAGCTAGTGCGCCACTATTTCCTCGCTGAATGGGAATCGTTAGCGCTAGTGCAGTGTGTAGATGAAGTCTGTTTCAGCTTGTTAAATGGAACTGCGCCCACTACAGGATGTTTATCCTTGTGGAAATGCACTATTTGTGACAATGAATAGCTCCTAAAATTCTTTAGCGTGATTGCTCGAAGGCTGCGATGTCATGCTGATTCATTGGACGGAGGAGTGGCCTGGCGGGTGCGCTAGGATGTGCATGAAATGGCCACCACTACCGAAATTGGCATCAGCTACACATAGCTTGCTGAGCTGGCATTTAGCGTTTGATATTCCATGTCATTGCTGCAAGGAGTGCAGACTTGTGTTTGTTACTGCCTGGCGCCTGACTATCTGTATAATAGGATGTGCGTTCAATTCCCTTTATTAAACGACGTATCACAAGAACCTGCAAGTTCTGTGTGCACTTTAAACGCAACGTAGGCCAGTTGAACAACTCTGCGCATGCCTCCGGCTAGCACTGCATATTTAGCCTTTATGTAGGTGCAGCATCTGGTGCTTGCGATGTTGCTAGACTCCGCGCTTCTCACGGGTTGCCTTGCCTTCTCTTATTTTGATATGCGTTCAGCGAGTTTCAGTTTATGTCTTTCCGTGAGCATGTGATGAAATCCTTGTTATGCCTTTGTAGCTTACCTGGTTAACAGCCAACATTTCCCCGTTTAGCAAATGTGTGCAGCACTTGCTCGAACGGCGAGGCAGTCTTGGGTGTGCTCAGCTAGTGCGTCACTCTTTCCTCACTGAACTCGAATCTTTATCTCTAGTTCAGTGTGTAGAGGAAGTCTGTTTCAACTTGCTAAACGGAAGCCCGGCTGCTACAGGATGTTCATCCTTGTAGAAATGCACTGCTTGTGACTAGGAATAGCTCCTAAATTGCTTTGGCGTGGATGTTTGAAGGAGTTGGCGTTTACCGTCGGCTATTCCATAACGAGAGTACACCCGTGTTTCGCCCGTTCGCCAAAGTTTGGATTGGTCAGGAAGTACGTTGAGCACTCCTTCAACGAGAAGTTGTACGTTAACCTATCACCATGACATGCAGGATCTCCACATTCTGCACCCAACTAGCGCTCCTAGATTTTTTACAGGTCTCTTTCGCAGACTCGTATAGGCGTTTTCCAGTGCAGCAGTGCAACTAGCGGAGGGCATCCAGAAACGAACATGTAGCACTGCAGGTTGTTTTCAAGCGGTTTCCCTTGGTGCCTGGTATTTTGGAGGTGACCAAGCCACTGGTGAATAGTTACAGAGGATATTAGCATGCGCAAGGAGAGGGATTGTGGATCGTATATTCACGTGGTGCTTTTAGCAGCAATTCGTTCGGCTGCAAGCTCAGAGTTTATTCAATCGCAGTATTCCCTGATGATTATTGCGCAAAACAGTACAATGCCTCATAGCAGACCGGCGGCGCTCAACGGGCTACGAGTGACTGCTGGCCAGTTCGACCTAGGCATGTTTATAGTTTTTGGCTTTAAGTATGCAAGTCTTACTGTTACTGGTATCAAATGGATCCATGGCAACCGTTGGTCGTTTCTGCCCACAAGCTGAAAACGGGTGGCAGTGGGACCTGCCTTGGGGCATGCTGTTTCTAGTTGGACATGATTTCATGAACGATATCTAGACACTTCTTTCCGTGTGCTGCATCAAAGCGCTGGTGTAGATGCTCACTGGTAAATATATTGGTTTTTCGATACAGTAGTGTTGGGTTCCAAGGTTGTAGCCTCATCAACTGCCTGCCACGTTGCGTTGTTCGTCTAACACGCTTCGTGTTCTGCCACAGTGCGTCCAGTTGCAAGTCCTAGGCTTGAAAGTAAGAATGTCCTTTAAAGTATTCCTAACTGATTACAGCCAGGCGATGGTGCTCCTGGTTTGTTTATCTTCTGAGTGACTTTCCGCTGGGAAATGCTGCAATGTTGTTTAGGCTGAAACCAGTGCGTTGTGCGCGGTGAAAGATTTCAGAGCACATCCATGATTAGCTGCATTAGTGCAATAACATCACTAGCGGTGCAGACAGCCGGATGCGAGCAATTATTGCTTCTCTGCTTCAGGCATCTGACGTCTAGAACTGCTAGTTTTGTACAGAGCACTAGGTAAACTTTCAGCCTGCCTTTTGCAGGCAACATTGGAACCCCTTTCGAAGCCTCATGTGGTTTGAAGGTGCACTCCTGAGATAATTACGGCGACAAATCAATGATTAGGTTGCTCCAAACAATTTAACAGGATGCGTAGTTTGGCGGTACTCAGGTGGGCTCCGTACATGCATTGACATTGTCTATCCGAAAGTGTACGCTAACAACACACTAAAGGAACCTGGGTTTACAGTGCCCACACGCTTAACGAATTTGCATATTCGCTGAACGGTTATGGCTTGCAAGGGATGAATGTCTCACTGGATGGGAAACTGTGTTCCTTAGAGCAAGAAGAGCAGACTATCTGCTGCGGATTCTGCATGGATATGCTCTGGTAATGTCCATCCACATTGCTGCAGTAAGTACGTCGCCGCGGTCGTGTGCGATCGTACGTTCCCTATGCGGCAGCCACGAATAAAACTTCGTGTGTGGTCGCGTACTGGCTGCGACTACTTCGCAGTGTTGGACAGGTTGTCAGGTTGCTTTGCATCCAAGCCGGTAGCATTTTAAAGATGGCCTGAGCGCTGACGAAGGCCGTGCTTCCCGCTGGTTTTGCACTAATTTAATCTACCGAGACATTTAAAGTACTCTCGGTTGTTGACAAACTTTTCATCTTCCGGTATTTCACAATTGATTGGAACGAAAAGTCTCGGCGTTTCCTAGAAAGCAGTCACTGCAGCGTAAGCTGCGTTCTTCAACTTGTAAAGTTGAAAGCAGCAGCCAAACGGCTCGTACTTTTCATTAGCTACTGCAACATGTAGAAAAGCCGTAGGTAGATACTTAACATGCTACAGAGCAACGAGGAACTGCATATGCGAGCGACAAAAGCAAAGCGTAACTCAGCCACTAGGTCATGTTCCAGGCCCCCGCCTTTTCGTATCCTCGCGGTCTATAGTGTTGTCAGTTCTAGTGTAGGGTTAGCCCCTGTTCCTTGTGTTGCTACGTATTTGTGCATCTTTGTGTTAAGTGCAGAAACATTATTTGCCTGCGCTATTTGTCTGTATATGTCTGTGCGTATGCACTTTCTGTCTTATCCTGTGCAACTTTCTCGAGTGCTTCTGTCCTCATAACTTGTAGGATAGAAGGGGACTGAGAATAAGTCAAACAGTAATATGATGGCAACAGAGAACCAACAGCATACAGGAAAACAGGCTCTGATACATTTTTCCTTCGGTCTTATCCTGTCTGTTGCTTGAAAAGCGAATGCATAAAAGACATGCAGACACACTCACGTACCGGACGACTGAAGGAAACAAAAAATGTAAAGATCCTTTAGCTGACCGTCCGTCCAGATAAACAAGCAATTAGAAGATAAGACAAGCGAGAACTAGCATGCGTCAAGGGGGCTGAGCTGAATCAGCAGAAGTAATAGATAGCTGTTAAGCCTGCTGATACTGCTGTTAATCAGCCCCCTCCTGCAGCGTGCCATTCACGTTTCAGGTGGCTTGGCGAGCAACACAGTAAAAGAAAAAGTAGGCGAAAAGCGAATAGCTGACGCCTATCAGACAGCAGCGGCAGGAGCACGAACAGAAACACAAGAAACTAGTATTGCATCTCTTATAAATGGGCTGACTGTTCAATGGGTCGTATGGATTACTACCTAAAACTATAGCAGCAACTCCCGCTGCTGATGCCGCTGCCCAAGTTGCAGCAGCTGCAGCATCGGTAGCACAGCAGCAGCTGCTGCTGCGGTACCGGTGTTGCCAAAGGCACTTTTTGACCAAACGACTCGAGCGAATATGCTGCTGCAGTAGCTGATGTTGCTGCAGCAGAAGCCACTGCTGCTACTGCCCGCTTTACGAGACAGTAGCTGCTGCAGCATTTGCATTCGTTGCTGCTGCAGAGACACAACCAAACAAAATAAGCCCCACTCCGCTGGGCGTTTCTGCGCAGCAGCTGTTGCTGCAAACAAATGATGCCCGCGCAACTTATGCAGCTGCATCCGCTGTTGCTGCTGCTGCTGCTGCTGCTGCTGCTGCGCTTAGTGTTTGGGGCCATATATAGCTAGGCTGTCAGACGCAAGTGGTGGGCTGCCTGAAGCTCAAGAGCCCAGCGGAGTCCTCCAAAGACGCACACACCCACAGACCATTGGCCGCTGACGAACTGTCCATACACCATAGGTGCTGCAGCACCGGCAGCAGCAGCAAGGAGCTGCCAGCGTGACAAATTGATGGAAGCCGTCTTGTATGTTAGTTGCCTCATCGCTCCTTCACCCCGAGGCCGCATACGTGGGGATGTTGTTTTTCCTTTCTTTTCTGACAGAGTCGCTCCTGCTGCTGAGTCTGGGCTTGCTGCTGCAGCGGGACTCTTCGAGATTACTGCACCTAAGTCATCAGAGCTGCTGAAGCATGAGGAAAGAATTGTGGTGTCTGCTGAGGTAGAAGTGAGAGAGGGGCAACGCTCACCAAGCCCTTCCGCACGGGCTGGTATTCCTGCCGCTGTTGGCGTTGCTGCTGCTGCAGTCTCTGTTGCTGCTGTTGCTGCTGATGCTGCTGCTGCTGCTGGCTTTTCTGCTTCGTGCTCCGCGTGTTCATCTTCCTGCTGTTTCGCCGCCACAGCTAACCCACAGGGCAGACTGAGAGCGAGCAGCAGCGACAGCCAGACACTGTTGTTGGTGTCTTTGCCTTTCCCGCTTTTCTTGTTGGTGTTTCTGCATATGGTGGCCAGCAGCAGCGATGCAACAGCACCAACAGCACAGTGTGCGATAAGGTTCAGTTTGTGTTGCGTGCAGGAGAGGCGGTATACGCCTGCTGCTGCGAGCGCATGCAAAAGGAAAAGCAGCAGCACTCTGTTGCTGCTGAGGTGGGGGAGATAGCTGCTGCAGTAAAGCCTCAAAAACAATACAGCGTAGGATGTGTACATAGCCAGAGCAATCTGTGCGTTCAGCACCTGCTGCTGGTCCTGGAGACAGAGGGCCCCCTTGGTAGCTAGATACATCCCCACAATCATTTGTGCTATCTGCATAAGAGTTATTGCCGGACGCGACTGCCGCAGTACTTGCTGCAGCAAGCTCCTGCTGCTGCCGCTGCTGCCGCTGCTGCTGCTGCTGCTGCTGCGGGTGCTGCGAGTTCCGGTGCTGGTGCTGGCGCCGCTTGCCCCTTGGGAGCTGCTGCGCCCTGGTGCGGATACACAGCATGACAAGCAGTAGTACAGGTACATGAGAGAGTGTACGCCGAGGTTCATAACAACGAATCCGTGGGCGAAGTCTACGTTGGTATGCTGAGCAGACCAGCAGTATAGGGTGACGGTGAGGTGGTGATAGAGATGTAAGAAAGAGAGAGGCTTCTTCTTGAATACAAGAATGAATGTATCGCCAAACTCCACTGCTTTAGTTAGAGTAAACAGAGCCACCACAACCCTCACAGGCGGCGTAAACAAACGCTCCGGGTGTACAGGCACCGTGAGCAGCGTTGGCTGCTGTATCAGCACCGTCATAAACCCCAAGAAAGAAAGCAGAGACAGCACCAGATTCCAAACAAAGGCCAAGCCTCGAAGAGAAAACGCAGGGCGCGTAGACATAACCCAACGCAGTACATACACTGCAGGCAGGTAGAGCAAGCAGGTGATCATTATGTGCCACTGAAACTGCTCGGCTAGCTCCACCCCCCTGCCGGGGCCCCAGGCCTCAGCGGGAAACATCCATGAGAGGACCCTACATAGAGGCCTATACCCCACAGCACACACCACTGCTGCACACGCCGCCACGGTAGCGGCAGCCGTAGCTGCACTAGCTGCTGCAGCGCCGCTCTTGCTTGCTGCTGCTGTCATTCTTGTACAGGAAAGGTGTAAACGGGGGGCACTCCAGACAACCAGCTCCAACCAGAGAGAACCAAGGGAAGAAGGACACACAGACGAACTAGCAAACAAATAAGCAGGTTACACACAATACAAACACGCAGCAAACTGTGGCGACAGGTCCGCTGCTGCTGACGCCGTTGCCGCTGCGGCTGCTGCTACTGCTGACGTCGTTGTTATTGCTGCTGCTAAACGCTGCCGTTCTCCTCCCGGTAATAATACTCTCCCGTAAAGATATGACGCGCGTGCAGCGGGGGAAAAAGGCGGCAAATGGCGCCCGCAGTGGGTGGTCGGTGCTGCAGCAGCAGCAGCAGCAGCACAGGCTAGAGCACCAACCGGAGCGACGCAGACACCGGGTGTGTTGGCTACAAGCGGATTAAAAGGCGACTTCTAGAAGAAGAAGCTGCAGATGAGCCTAAATGGCAAACAAATCATAACAAGACAACTGCTGCAGCGCAGCAGCTGCCTGCGGGTGCCTCGGCGAGCAGCAGCACCGGCGTCCTGAGACTGCAGGCACTGAGCTCTAAAATTATCAATAAACAGCTGAAAACCCTTTTAGCAAACAAATAGAAGCAGGTTGCTTGCAAAAATACAAAAAAGAAGCTCAAAGGGACGGAGAAACGCCTCGCAGACTCCCCCGTCTGCCGTTGCAGCAACCACCCACAGAGCAAGGCTGCAGCTCCCGCGCGCAAAATAGGCATAAATATGTCGATATAAACTCGCTCTTTTTCATATTAAATCAACATTTAGGTTAAATTCAACTTTTTTTTCTGTATTTTCTCCTTATTTCATGGAAATACGGATTTTCCCTACCTCCCCCCTTGGGGCAACCCGCGGCACAGCACGGTGTGCCGGCGCAGCAGAGGACCCGGTTGCTGCAGGCTCCCTTCTTTGGGGTGTTAGGTGGAAAAAGCGTCGAAATAAAAGTTTTTTGATGGATTTAATGAATTTAATGCATATAAATAATCCAAAAACGAAACAATTTTTAAGCAGCACTCAAAGGTACCCAGGCAAACAAACCCCGCAGCCTTCTCGCACACACGCACGCGCAAGCAGCACGCCGTTCAGGGTGTAAGTACACCGCGTGACATAAATCATTCAAAAAGTCCAAAAATATTTTCTTTATGCTCCCCCAGTTACACATGTTCAGCGTCGCCCTCAACCCGGCCAGCAAGACAAGACCACTGCGCCCAACCCTCAAGCCGAACCCTGAACACGAAAATATTAGGAGGGTTTAAGGTGTGGTGCGAAACGTTCGAGGCTTCCTCACAGGGAGGGTCCATAGGCGTTTGTTGCTGCATTTGTTGAGGGAACTATTGCTGCTGCTGGTGCAGTGGCGCCTCTTCAGCACCGTGCAGCAACCCTTCGTGCACGGGCTCCCGCCCAGCGTCCTGCACAGATGAAAATATCGCATTGCATCTACCTCTTCGCTACCCAATACCCCTACGGGTGACAGCTTGGCATATTGGATTGCTAGTTTTTGTGGGGGCTTGAGTAACGTTCGTTTATGCGGTGGTGTTGCGAGCCCATGGCGGTAGGGAGAGCTGCATTGCAGCAACCAAGCAAGTATGCTTTCCCTTCTAAGAGAAGGAGTGTTATAAGAGGTGCCTTGGGCCTCTAAAGAAAGGCGAAACCTGTTTGCTAGGCTGCGTGGATAGACGGGTTTCTTTGAGCGGATATTTCTCCCGTAGGATCACTTCAGCTGTTTTTTTTATTCTTTCTTTTCGATTGCTCAGTTTTGCTGCACACGTTGGGGAGTTACTGCTACCTGTTAATGATCGCTTGATTCAAAAGGTACAACAGCACAACACTTGCACACTTCTTAGTCTATAGACAAATATACAAGTATGATAATTGGTTGTTTTGGTGACGAAGGCGAGGCCTTTTTCTCTGTTCATATATAGAAAAGTACATATGACCTCCACACAGGTGGATAGACACGAGACACGCAGCACAGCAAACGCCAAATTCAAGAGCATTTGCCTCGATAAAAAAGTACGCCAGCGAGGCGTACACAGCTCGTACACTCGCACACATAAGCGCCTTTTCCTTTGCAACCAAAACTCTAAACACTCTCTAAAAAAATATAAGCGAGAAATTCATATATGGGGTGATATTCCGGTGTCTTAGAAGATCGCTTGGGCGGTCTTCTGCGCCGTGAGAGTGTGGCTAGCTGGGGCGAAGACTGGCTAGCCGTGGCTAGCTTTCGCGGTTCGAGACAAAATAGCTAGCTGCGATGCATTGCGTCTCGTTGACATTTGGCTTGGTTCTTTTTTCGGCTGTATTTTTCCTGCCAGTGCCGCTTTCCCCCATCAACGCTCCAAAACTATAGAAGGGGATATTCAGCTTCGGGTCTATGCTCTTGAAGAGCCTCCCACAGGCCTTTCAATCGACCAAAACACATCCAAAAAGTTATATTTATATATCCTTTTTTTTTATTTTTAGTATATTTCTGTAGTTGCTTATATTTACTACTCTACAGACAGACATAGTGGCTCATGTGAATTGCTGCTTTAAGCATAAACACACCAGAAAAAACACATAAGAGTATTTGCAGAATACATAACCCACAGGCCTGCTGCATATTTGCTCCTGGGTACTCCTCATGGATCCTGCAGAGAGCGGCTCTAGCGCCTTGGCTGCCCCCAGCAACGACTGCTGATTATAACAGGCATACACAGCAAACAGGTTTCAGCGCGTAGCCCACGTTCCGCTGCTCATGTTTACAGCGTCTAACTTCACGCGCATCGACAAATACGATCAAGGAAGGAGTCCTAGAGGATCACCAGCTGCGGCTGGACAGCTAGCCTCTAGCTAGCCACTGAGGAAGCTACACTTGGGAATGCAGAAAACGTAGAATATGATAGTGTCTATGTGCGCTCGTTTGTCAGCACGCGTAGAAGAGAACTGCTCGTTTCACCTAGACGGCAGTTTCAGCTGTTATAAGTATACCGAGGCAGGGTTCACACCCCAGCTTGGGGTTCTTGCTGGCCCCCCCATGGGTGCTGCGGATGCAGGGTCACAGCGTACAGGGGCAGCGACACTCTCCCCTGCAGCCGTCGCCGCTAGATATTGTGTTTTTAGCTCTCCCAGGAGGTCCATCAGTCCGCAGAATGAATGAAGTTTCTGAGCTGTGTTTCCGTGTTTGCTACTACTACTCACCTGCAGCTGCTAGAGAGCTGTTGCTTGGGGGGTTCTGGGGTGAACCGTTATTCTAATCTAGTCGTTGAAGCTGTCTAAAGATAATATTAATAACAATTTAGAATAAATATAAAGTTAAAAATAACAATTCATCAGCATAAGCTGCGGCTTACGGGGTGCAGGCATTCTTGGCTACCACTCGCTGCCAGCAGCAGCCGCGAACAGCTGGACCATTGGTCCTTGGAGTGTGCAGCGTGCGGACCTTATTCTTCTGGCTTTACTTCGTTTTAATCTGATTAACTTTTTATTTTAGGGTGAAAACATTGTTCGTTTCTGCATAAGCTGCGAGTGACGATGCCTCAGCCCAAGGTTCCGCCGTTGGGGCCCCCGGGAGCCTCGATGCAGCAAGGGGGCCCAGGTGGAGGGGGCCCCTGGTGGCCGCCCGAAGCTGTTCCAGCCCCGGCAGTAAGGCGAATGAAAGAGGAGCTGCAAGATATGTTAGAGCGGGACATTCACCGCTTTGGCGTCCTAACGCATGCAAGGGCCCCAAACCCGACCTACCCCTTCCCACCAAGAAGCCGAAGGCCGACAGAAATAAAACTATCATCAGCTTACAAGCCAGCACCAGCAGACCCATGGGCCAGCCTGCAACGGCCGGGGGGCATGACGCCCAGGCTGGGCCAACCCTCCAACACAAGCAGCGGCCAGTTGGTTGCCGAGCCGGTGAGTGCGTTAGCTGCGTGCATGAACTCGAGGCTAGCACTTAGAACTGAAAGCCGTAGTAAGCTGCAAACAAAGCGTAGGAGGATGGGGGTGAGCATCAGAGAAGGAAAGCAGATATATATATAGGGACGGAAATGAATAGAGGCTACAGAGGCGCACCTACAGCAGGGGATTGTGTGAAAGGCAAAGAGCACATAGAGACGTGTCATAGGTAGACGGTCTATGGGTAGAGAAAAATTCCTATGAGAAACAGAAACATGTCTAAATACGTGTTCAGAGGGGAATAAAGAAAATGCAGTTGTCAAGATAAGAGGGTTTTTGTTTCTGTTCAATATGTTTATGGTTGATGGGTCCTCCCCATGCATTCCCTTCTTTTTTTTTTTTTTTTTTTTTTNTTTTTTTTTTTTTTTTTTTTTGGTGTTCAGTTGTAACCATCGTGTGTTGTGCTCTTGATCGAATGCCCCCAGGAGCCGCGCCAGCCTACCCTGGAGGAGCTCTGGTTTGCAGCTACAGCGGAGGAGGTTAACCCAACTCAAGCACAACGGAGGCCCCCTGCATCTCCATATGCAGATTGGGGGCCCCTAGACTCTGATACGCGATCGGTGGCGCATGCAAAGGGTACAGAAAATACAGCGAAAGTGCAACGCAGAGATTTACTCTGTGCTGACGAAGACAGTAGTGTGGAGCCTCTGGCGCCCTTGCCAGCTCTCACCGAAGACGATTTCCTCAGGGGCCCCGGGGGCCCCCCACTAAGCGATCGGAGCAGGCAACACCTGCTGAGCTTTGGTCTCGACTACAAGGAGGCTATTAGCCCCCGCAGCAGAAAACAGTGGTCCCCCATGGAGAGGGAACGTTGGAGTCGATCCCGCCTGCTGAGGTATCTCATCAAGACGAAGCAGGTACACCTGTAGGCCCCTCACCCACATTCCCTGTTTGCAGTGTTTTGTGTGGCCTTATAAAACCTATAAGTCCATATAACTTATATATTATATATATATATATATATATATATATATATATATATATATATATATATATATATATATATA